GGTGCTATGTGAATGAACAAATGAATGAATGGATGACGCATGGATGGCATACAGGACAAAAATCCAGGGTTATTGCTACAGTGTGAGGCCTGCAGACAGGGCATCAGTGAGGGTCTGTCCCAGGCGGCTCCAGAGGCATGGCCAAGGGGCCAGGAAGTTGCCACTGCTGGTCTGAGCTGCCCTCTCCGGCACCCACCCAGTGCCCTGTGCTGATTCCCTTCCTTGCAGAGCTGAGCCATTTCTGGTTTAGAAGGTAATGGGGTGAAAGCTACTCAGAATCAGCCCGGCATTCTTGGAGCCTGGCTCTTGGGACTCTGGTCAGCTGCCCTTAAGGCCAAGGAGAAGGGCCAGACTCACTAATGAGGAGCTGCTGGCAGCACCATCGTTGGAGCCCCATCCAGAGTAACCTTCCTCCGCCCATCACGGACCTTAGGCTGCTCGTGAGTCTGAAGCCTACAGAACTGAGGGCTTCGCGCCACCTGCCGGCCACAGAGAAGACTTACTTCAGCAGAGAAAATCAGGGCCCCTGGTCCTAGGTTTTCCACCAACTCTGAGGGAGACCCCCAGCCTTAAGCGCAGCCCAGGGAGGGGCTGGAAAGCTCCAGGCATAGAGAGGCAGTTCAAGCAAACCTCTCTTCTCCGCAAAGGCGTTCTTGCCCACTGATGGCGCTACCTCCATCTGGGCCACCCTTTCTCTATGGCACTGGCCTCAGTTGGACAAAGAAGTTCACCTGGGCGCCATTCAGCCCAGCCGGAATTTCTGTGGTAATTTTGTTTCTGATATTCTGCCTCCAGGACTTCATTCATTGGTCATCACATGACAGCAGAGGAAGCAGTCTGGCCTGTCCACACACTGTGTGCAGAGCTGGCTTGGCTCCAGGGCCCCTGAAAGGAGAAGGGAAGTACCATGTGTCACTGTGGCCCAGCAGGACTGTGAGAGAAGCACCGTTCTCGTTTGAGTTTGTATATGAGGAAACAGGATCAGAAGGGATGGCGTCTTAGACCATTCAGGCTTCTATAACAAAATACCATAGACTGGCTGGCTTATAAACAATAGACGTTTATTACTCACAGTCTAGAGGTTAGGAAGCCCAAGATCAAGGTGCCAGTGGATTCAAT